TTTTAGCTCCGGCATCCTCAGTTTTATATTTTCAGTCCATGACTCTCACAACTCCTTATTAGTTTTCATAGTACTATACACATTGTATAGCTGTCTGCTAAACTGTCATATTGTAGCGTCGGCACAAAAAAATGGAATGCTTCCAAGCATCAAGTGCACTGACTGTTTGAACATCTCCCTCTCCTTCATTAAGTTTTGGAGCAGCCTCAGACTCTCAGTCAAGAATCTCGCAAGATTCAAGGTGGTCAGGTAAAATAGCATTTTCTATTGCCACCTCTTGAAATTCAAGCCATTGAATTTCTCCAATTTTTCTCCATGATTAATCAGAACAGTAACGATTTGGCCAATTGTTAGAGCCACAATTTGACTAACAATATGACTTGACAACTTAGCTACAGTCTGAGTCATAACAGAGCTTGGCCCCTTGAGCCATAGTAGAGTCCACAACTTGATTTCCAACAAGAACAGTTTATGTCACATCCATGTTGGTTGATTTGGCAGCCATTTCCAAGATTGAAACAAATATAAGTTTCCAACAAACAACTTGTTTACTACCAATATGTATTGACGATCAATTTTAAGTTTATAGGATTAAATTAGTGTATTGGATGAAATCGGATTTACGCATACTGTATATGCAGATTACCGTATATGCAGGCTACTTACCATATATGTACTTTACCGTATTTACACATATTTGTTTTACCCATTTCATATCAACAATGAAGTTAGATATCGTACACGTAACTAACAAATACTGAAATTGCATTTACCAAACTGAATGTTAGAAAAAAAATTCAGATTTTTTTTTCCTTTTTTCAATCTGATTTTATTTAAAACATAAATAGAACAACAAAATAATAAACCTGTAAATTATATGAAGCACAAGAATAAATTGCAGAAATATACGAATAATGAAGATAAAATTGCAGGAAATAAATAAATAACAGATGAACTTTCAACCCACGGCATGTGCGAGCACAATTTCCTTAAAACAGATTCGTCCCCTCATCGTAAGTACTTGAAATTTAATCCGAGCGTCTGTTTTACAAGATATAACGGTAAACCATAGAATCTGAGCACTGCGGAAACTACTCCGACGAACTGACTTAGTATTCGAACAATATCACCAGCTAGACATTTGATAGAAACTATATATGCAGACAAAATAATTCTGTGCACTAGACAGAAAATGATTTATGTAGACAGAGAATTTTCATGTATTTTCCTGATGAATGTGATGAAAAGGATTGCCAAATAAATAGGTTGTAATGGTGACTTAAGTGGCCAGGAGTTGCGTCATTAACTCGACAATAAATATTGGAGTTTCAACTGTTTTAAAAGTTAAACAGTCAGTTGAAGAAAGCCAAAAAAATAGCAAAACGTGGACACTCCAAAGAGGTAAATTTTTGCTCTGTTCGATCCGACATTCTTATACACAGGTCGCGTCCGCTCACAAGTTTAAAGCTCAATGTACTATTTCAATCCTTGATTTGTACCCACTGCTCGCACACGTGGAAAGAGCCTCTATATTATACATGATTACACCCCTGTCAAAGTGTAACCATATATAAAGTGGTTGATGTTTTCTTCATTTTCCTATGTGGGACAAATTCTATTTTCCCACATAAACCATCTTCCAATGGTCAACTTTGAGCTCTAACTTCTCATTCATCCATTCATCAATTTTGGCGAGTAAATTTATGATTTTGATACTCTCATAGAGAAGAACACAGATCAACTTTGATATTCTAAATTTGATCAACAGGTCCCACTCAAATTTTATGCCGAAGTCAGCCGCTAAAGCCATTTTTTTGCAATAGAATCAACCTAAAAAACCATGTAACAAATTTAAACAGATTTACCTGTTCATGAAGAATACAAAATGCTTGTTTGACAGGTAAATTTATATCAACGCATTTGCCCATCAAAAGAAGTAATATCATGAAAGTTAAAAGCTTAGATACATTGTAGATAGAATTGTTGCGAAGCAATAAAGACAGAGTTATCGAGCCCTCCTTGCAATACTCATGGAGCAACTCATATACGGTATGAGTAGAATAAAATACCATATGCGGTTCTTAAAAGAATGAAAAATATATATCAGAAACAAACAATATAAATCAACCTTAGATTTAAAAAAAAATGATAGACGACAAGTTATGTAGCACAGCTTCTTAACCTGACCTCAATCTAAACAAAATCCAACTTAAAAGTGAAAAATTCAGTCCCCGTGTACAACGTTATACAAAATCGTGAAAGAAAAATCTTTAAGAATCAGTAGGAAAATAAGTACAAAGTTTAAGCAATTATTTTCAAACCTCATAAAAAGGAAAAAAAATGGAATTAAAAACAATTATTAATAATAATTGAAACATACATTCAACTCATTACAAACTTCAAAGTTCAGGCAAGTAATAAAATAATGGGATAATTATAGTTGAGACCCCAAGCTTTCCAAAAATTGTAGACTTTTTCCTGACCTTTCATTTGTTGCAGCCATCACTCCAAACTTTTCAAAATGTTGCGGATGAAACCCCAATGAATGGATTCCAGCCATATTTTTGTTAGTTGACCAAAAAATGGACTCTGGCCACATATTAATCAATAATAAAAGGACAAAACTGTAATTTTATATTTTTCACATTAAAAAACTTAAATAAAAAAACAACAAAAAAAGACGAAAACAAAATAAAAAGGGAAAAAAAATCTCCTTCTCCCTCACCCTCACCCCAACCCCTAATCCAAAATCGGAAATCCACCATCACCACCACCTCGCCCAAAATCGACCACCATCCCTCAACAACCACTGGCATGGCAACGGAATCTACAGCTTTTGGCCCACTAAAATCAAGTTGGCATTGCCTATATTATTTACTTCCTGAATTTGTTGGAAGGTAACGAGACTGGCAAACACTTCAGCGGCGATGTTTTAGAGGCCGTCGTCGAGAACCATCGTGTAATTTGGGCACCTGTTGGATATTCTTGTGTGGTTTCTGCATATGCAAGGGAAAGAAATCTTGATCGTTTGCTTGGCCACAACGATGGTATTTGCCTAGGTGTAGAGGAGGATGTTGTTGGCGCAAAGAATTGAGTGAAGGTTCTTGACTTAGAGAAGGGTCTTGATGACGAAGAGACTGGTGTGGTTGGGAGAGACATAGTCTACTAAACCGTAGCATTTGCCGCTTGGGGAGGTGCACCGTAATGATTGAGCAGAGATAAAGGTTGAGGAAATGGCTATCAACAGTAGAGTAGAGATTAGGCCCGTGAAGATGGCCATTTTGAGTGCTAATGGAAGATGGCCATGCAGTTGTGTCAGGGGGTGGTAGTCGATTTTGGAGGAGGTGGCGGTGATGGTGGATTTCAGGTTTTAGGTTAGGGATTGGGGTTGGGTTGGGGGTGAGGGAGAAGAACATTTTTTTTCCTCTTTATTTTGTTTTCTTTTTCATCTAAGTTTTTTAATGTGAAAAATATAAAATTACTATGTTGTCTTTATAATTGATTAATATATGGTTAAAGTCCAATTTTTCGATCAACTAACAAAAAAAGGATGGATGATAGGCTCGATAGACACATGTCCTGACTTTTCTTTAGGCTCTTTTATACATGTTGATAGATGGATATGTAAGTTGCAAAAATGGAATATTAAAATGTTCAATGGGAAGATTTTCCATTTTGGGGAAATTAGGAGAGACTCCTCAACATTTAAAAGTGATATTTTGACTTGACTTCTGGTGAGTGGCTTTAACGTGAATTAAAGTTGAATTGCAAAACTAAAAATCACTAAAGGTCCGTTTGATTGCAAAAATGGAATTGAATTATTTAGAAAACGAATTTCAGGGAAAAACGAATTTCAGGGAATTGAATTGCGTAGAAATTATTTTTCTGGGAATTGTAAATTATTGTGTTTGATTAGTATAATTTTTCACGTGAAAAATGTTGGAATAAAAGTGTTTTTTGGTATTCGTTTGACTTTGTTTTACATGAAAATAGTCAATTAAAGGGATATAATTTACTGGTATTATGGATGAAATTTGTTCCCAATGCCAAAAAAAAAAAATTTAAAAAAATCATTTATCTTTTAATGTTCGTTTGGCCTTATTTTACATGAAAATTTTCAATTAATGGGAAATATTTTTTTACAATAATTCTTAAAATTTGTTTTCATTACCAAAAAATAATAATAATAAACAAAATCGAAAAAAAATGCTACAATAACCTGGAATTGCAATTCTCACCATTTTGGTGATAATTGCAATTCCTTGAATTCATGGAAATTGGCTTATATGGCACCAAAGATGGAAATTCAATTCTAAGGAGAGGAAAAAAAAAAAGATTATCAAACAAGGTTAAATTGAAAGGTGGAATTCCAAACACACCCTAATATATTTTTTAATTTTTAATGTGAACGTCATGTGCTAGTTTAATTATCTTTAGAGGTATAAACTTTGATTTGCTTCAAATATTGAAAGTTGTTCAATTGCCTTCTTATTTCAAGTTGTCTTGATGCTTTATTCTTGATGAGATCCATCGTATGGTGACTTTCTTTTTGTTTGTTTGGAATACGGGTGGTCAAACTAATTGCAATGTCGTTTGGTATGCAATATTAAACTGTATATATTATATATAATTTTTTTTAGAAATAATATATTATCTACCATCTCATCAAACATGCTACGGCTTATTGTTGCAATTCTTGAAAATAAAGGAAGGCAAAATGTATAGATTTTTAATATATTTTAGACAGAAAAGGACGTAATAAAAGTCATGCAATTTGAAAATGAAGGAAGGAAAATTATTAGTTTTATCAAACTTAAGACTAGAAAGGGACGTAATGAAAGTCACGCAAGTTGAATCTTGTGACAGGTTCGTTGTTGGTGACCAAACTAAAATGAATTTCAAATAAAAAGTTGAGTGACTAAAATAAAACTTAACTCAAAGTTGGTGACCTTACAATTATTTTATATAAAAATAATATTTCGAAAACACCAAAATGATACCAAACATTGACTTCTTGAACATTCGCAAAGCCCTCAATTCAATCGGGGATAAAATGCAGAGTCGACTCTATCTCTCTCCAGTATAATACCAAACGGTAGGAATCATTGCGTATTTCTGGTGAACTGTAGTTGAATCAGTCGAGGAATTGCAATCCGTTATTTTTCAAGTCATCATTGAGTGAATAATACTATAGAAGAATAATGTTTTTGGTGGATTGGTTCTATGGAGTACTTGCATCTCTAGGGCTATGGCAAAAGGAGGCCAAAATTCTCTTCTTAGGCCTTGATAATTCTGGCAAAACCACCCTCCTTCATATGCTTAAAGACGAGGTAGGAGATATTTCATTTGTTTAATTTGTACGTGAAGAATTGAAATTACTTTTGCGAATTGTTTAAGTTGGTTAGTTTTGATTATATAAACTTGTTTTTATTGCTTAAATGATTAATACGCGAGGCTATGGTATGAGTATCAGAAAATAACTGTGTTTCTATGAATATTGGTTAATAATCACTGTATTGAAGGTTTAAAAGTGAAACTGAGATACTTATGGTGTGGAAATGAGCAGAGATTGGTACAACACCAGCCAACCCAGTATCCGACTTCAGAGGAGCTGAGTATCGGGAAAATCAAGTTCAAGGCTTTTGATTTGGGAGGCCATCAGATTGCACGCCGAGTTTGGAAAGATTATTATGCCAAGGTATTATTTTTGCAAAATTCCGAACCTGCGGTAGTTGATTTACATTTACTTGCATGGTTAGTAAACTACTGGGCCATAACGAGAGAATTTTACAGCAATAGTGTATTGAATTGCTGGATTTTTCTCTCTGGTCACTGGCAGTAAATTTTTAGTTCTTTAAGATAGCATGATATCTGTTTGTTTTCTTGCTTGATTTTGGCATTCATGCTATATAGAGCAATGTGACATAGATGTTCAGTATTGCATGAGTGCTGTTATTATGGCATTGCATTTTAGCTGTTACAATTAGATAAATTGTTTTCCTTTTTCTTTTCTCTATTATGTGGGAGTCAGTCAAAGACAGTATAAGTAGGTCTGAATAATTGATATTTTATCAAAAAGCTTTGCTTGTAGTTATAGTTCTGGAGGAAAGTTTTTACAGTCTCCATCACAGATTTTGTTAAAGTAGAGTTTCTTTGCTACTCAATCGCATATAGTTGTGTATAAGAAGAAATGCATAACAGAGAAGAGTCCATCAAGAACATATCTGCCTGACAGAGAATAGATCATTCTAATCTGCCAGCCCTTGTTTTTATCACTAACCATTTTTTGGTTTATTTGATTCATGGGAGGTCCAAATGGAGTCGGGGAGTTTGTTAAGAGCACCTTTAATTTTTCTAGGAAGTTTTTCACTAATACCTCATCAGACTGGTTCCATTATCCAAATTCTAACTATATTAATGAGAAAACTTGTTAAAAGAGTGACTTATCCGATCACCTAACTGTAAAGAATGAGGAGGATGCAAGTGTTTTTTAAATTGTCGAATCCACCACTCAGAGAAGTTGCAAAGTGAAAATGAATGCTCATATTATTAATTAGGGTTTTTGAGAGGACCATTGATTATTTTAGTTTGTTCTGTGGACATGATATTTTGGCTTCGGAAATTGGATTATTTAATACATCAACACAGTCTTATTACTTTGTAGATTTCTTCCAATTTATGGTGAATTTAACCTATTTTTTGAATTTTCTGAATCTTGCCTTACGCTTTTAAGTTTTCTCTGAATATATTTTAGTATTTCGTGCTATCACTTTGGATGAAGCATGTGCCTCATTTTGAACTTTATCCATGGAAGACATGGCTCCTGAATGTGCTTTGCACTTTTGATTATGAGAAAAACAATTCCTTGCTTCAAGAAGATAAGAAAAATGGTAATAGAACTTCTTTTGCAATCAATGCTTACAGTGAAGTATGCCAGTTGTGTTGTTCCAGTCTTGCTGCAGTTTTATTATGTCTTTCGAGAAGAATTGCTGTTTCTTTATCCTTCCACCTTTTCCTTCTCACGTGGAATTGTGAATGGGGGCAAGGACTTAGATGCAGACGTCTTCCCATAAAAATGCAGTGGCTTAGCTTGGAATTCTGTTCTATGTGTCTTTGATTGTTTAAATTCAAGGATTGTGTAATTAATAGAACATATATGTTTGTAAAAGCAATAAAACTTGAAAAAGAAAAATGAAAGAAGGGATAAACTGAAACAACTTATTCTTTTCTCTGTGTTGAACATATTTTTATTGCGCTTGTGATAGAAATAAAAATTGAAAAAGAATGAATGAAGGGAGAAACTGAAATAACTTTTCTGTTCTCTGTGTTGAAAACTATTTTGGCTGCAAAGGGGCAACGCATTGTTATGAGCAATGAATGAAGACATGAGCCAGTAATATGATGGGTCTATTGCTCCAATATAGGATCTTTACAGTCACATGTTGTTATATTGTCTTGAGATATTGTACAGCATTGCTTGTAACGAAGTTGAAAATACAATGGAGACAATGGACAACCTGAAGTGTACCTTGATCAATAATTTTGCAGTGGAATATACTTTTGAGGAAAACTGCTGCAATATAGAAACATATCTAACATTTATTTTTCACCTGTAAGCTTTTTGAGTAATTTTAGAGCATCAAGTTTATGATCCTTACCACCAAGCAGCAGAAGAGTGGCTGCCAAAAAAAGGCACCTTATGAGGTGCTTATAAGCACGCCCAAATAATTGGAAAAGTTTAGATAGTGCACAATCACATCCCGATGTAAATCATTTTTGCTGTCCGTTATACGGCACTATAGTTAATTATTTGATGGTTTAGTTTATAATTCTCTCTTTGCTTATTGTGATAGAAACTAGTTTTTAGTTGTTTTCATTTGGACCGCGAGTATGTATTTCCATTGTGATATTTTTCTTGGCTGCATCAATCTAATGGTCATACCATGGATTGAAAGTTCATAGTTTATGACTTATTTTTATTATTTGCTTCCAAGGTATAATGTGCAATATTTTTTCTGTGTAAAGGTGGATGCAGTTATTTATTTAGTGGATGCTTATGACAAGGAGAGGTTTGCAGAATCAAAGAAAGAGCTGGATGCTCTCCTTTCTGACGATTCCTTGGCTAATGTTCCGTTCTTGATTTTGGGCAACAAGATCGACATCCCTTATGCTGCCTCGGAAGATGAGTTGCAGTACCACATGGGCTTGACAGGCATCACTACCGGTAAGGGGAAAGTAAATTTGGCAGATTCAAATGTGCGGCCACTTGAGGTATTTATGTGCAGCATTGTGCGTAAAATGGGTTATGGAGAGGGCTTCAAATGGCTCTCTCAATACATCAAGTAGCGTGAAAGGAGAATTGATATGTTTGCCTTTTACTGTCTATATAGTTATGTTTTATTAGACTTTATGAGTTCAAAATGTCTCTCTCAAAGCATTGTAGGATAAATTTCTAACAATTTACGCTTTTTACCGAAGTGAAAAAAATAGTGGTCTTCTAGTTTGTCATGGGTTAGTTAAGTGGTTGAAGTATGGAGAAGTGTTTTTTGTCTTATTGCCATCTTCTTGAACATGTTATGTGTTAATTATGTACGATGTAATACTGTAAGTGCAAGGGTCGTGAACAAGTAATAAAGTAATTTGGAATGTTGATCCAATGAGCAGTGTTTTAATTCTAGTTTGATTAAAATGCCGGATAACTTGTACAAAATTGGTTTGATCTTTTTAACGAACTAATTATATGAAAGGCACCTATAAACTATTAAAACTAGCAAAAGTGAATTTTTTTGGGAAATTCTGATTGGAACGTGTTGGGATTCATAAATTGAGGGTGTGATTATTAAAGGTTGAATCTTTAAGTATATTTATCAATGAAATGAGCGAATTAACGTAAAATGATTCATGTACTTGACTGCAAATTCTTACATAACCCGGCTTTGTTCTAACATGCGTGAAAGACTATTGACCGATAGGCATTTTGACCTGCTCCTTGTAGGCTAAGTATTCAATTCAATCAATGGTATTTTAGTTCAGGAAGCTGGAATTGGAGCCTCTCAATGTTTCAATTTCACAAGTAATGTCAAAAAAATTTCGATGAATTCTTGTCGTTGCAAATTAAATATGTGATTTTCAAGCATGCCTAAATTTGTTTATCAAAGAAAAATTGGTCTCTTTTCTAATTTTTCATCACTCCACGAAGTTCATTTTTAAATGAGGTAGTTTATTGTGTTTACAAACCTAACTAGCTATCAGCAGCAACAAGAAAACAAAAACTAACCAAGTATTGAAAACAAATCCTCCCGTCATCATAAACATGGCTCAACCAAACTTAGCACCACCATCGTTACCGCCTCCGTCTCTGCCCTTGCCCCTACTGGCTCCATCCCAACCACCAATGGTTCCGAGGTTCTATGTACAGTCAGTGTAACAAATCTTGCCAATCTTTTACCAAATGACACTGTCCTTCGCTTTTTCGGACATGGGCATTTGTCAATTGTCCAACAAATGCCTCACGACATTTTTTGTAACACCCCAAAATCTATACGCCGATGGTTACCCAAATAAATTCTTTATCCGTAAGACAAGTTGATTAATTCAAAGTTTAATATAAAATTTAAAGAAATATGTGGAATAAAATAAGTTATTTTATCGTCTCATAGAATGTCAATTTAATTCAATCCCCTGTAGATATATAAATCAAATACTTATTTTCAATATTGATTTTGAAAATAGAATTCGGATTGCAAAATAATTTTCTAACTAAATATTAAATACTGAAAGAAAATTAAAATTTTTGATCCAGTGACACGAACTTTATCAATAGTTTCAACCCCCAACTCCGATCAATCAAGCATTTGTAAAATATTTTAAATATCGAATGAGTATAAAATATACTCGATATAGAATTCATAACAATATTTTCACAATTTAATATAAAAAGCAAGTAAAATACGCACATACCATATTTTTCTAGTTAATAGAAACTGAACCGTGTCATTCTCAACTAGGTCATATCCATTTTCAATCTCTACTTAGGGTCTCTATGACTTGTTTTGGTATAGATCTACATAATACCATATGATATTATTAACAATATCATTCTTTAATTTGGATCAAATAATAGCATATAAAATATTTAACTTAAAAGAAATCCTTAACTTGTTCGTAAAATTGCTTGTATGCTCGAACTACTTAGGATTGAAAATTCTTGCTACCAGATCACAAATGCTCCGTATAGCTTTTCTTTTCTTTTATCTTCTCCATCTCTCTCACTCATTCTTTCACAGTTCCTTTACGCTCTTTTTCTCTACATTTGTGTGAATTGACACGCAACAATAGGGGAGTGCGCTCAATTTATAGTTATGATTAGATAAGAATAATTAGCTACTTAGAATTTTAATAGCTATATTAATTAAATTTTAAATTAGACTTCCAACAACCAAACTTATCATGAAATTCGAATTTAAGAAAATTCTAATTACACGATGATAAAATTCTAAAGTGGATATTTGCAAATTTCAAGTTTTATCTAAACACTTTTATATAACATAATTCGATAATAATTTAATAAATATCCAAATATATTTTAAATCATAATTTCCTGCAAAACTCATCTATCCAATCATTAGGACTATAAACACAATGCTCCTAAAAAATGGTAAAATTGCTAAGTTATCCTCAATTTCTCAAAACTTGCATTTATGCCTCGTATATATAGTATGTATTTTTTCGAGGTAAGTTTTTTATAACAATCCAGACACCGTGCTCAAGCCTGTATATCATATATACAGTCCGTTTTGGGAGGGATTCTGCCCTTTTACTCCTAAAATTGGTACTAAGATTCAACTAAAGTCTCTCTTAAAGAGAAGATCATATGTTCAAATTATGGAGAATGCAACAAAAACTTGTGAGGGATAAGATGACAGAGGCCCTCCCAAAGCAAATAATATATATAATATAACAGCTTGGGCGCGAGTCTTTGGTCATTACATTTCTAATAGAGTTATGTGCAATTGTTTGCTTCCCTATCTTTCTTATAGCTCCATTGACAAGGGGAAGTTATTCGAAGACATGTACATTTTTCAACGACGATCAAGATTCGAATGGAGAGAACACCGAGGGATAATACCAATTCAATTGAGTGTAAATGTTATACCCTAGGTCTAATCAACTTTGGACATAAATACTTTTAATATATAATTGATGCATTGTATGGCAAATCTATTTAATTAATATTCAATTATATTAAATAATAGAGTTTGTAGATTCAAATCTTGATAATTTGTTAATCACAATGAGTTATGATTATGAGATACAAATTACATATGATTGAATCTTAAATCGTCCGTAGTCGTAAGTAATAATGAGATACGGATATCATTATTACGGAGAGACCATCGCATGTGGCATTTTTTACTTGTGAAGTAATTAACTGATCTCACAAGCTAAAGTGTGATGACACTTAAACGAACACATGAATATTTTGTTATAGAACAAAACATTGGAGACCCGCCGAAAGATTCCACACGGATAATTATTTAAGTGTCAGTGGTTAATCTCTAATGTTCGGTAGTGGGATTGGTCCTTTGATTTGAGATCATCATAGTACCTTATATGAGGACAGTCATCCTTTGACGGTGTTAAATGTTGCTCTGCCAAGAGCCGTTAATATGACATTGTTCGAATATGTCGATAACCGTATGAAGGTTGTGAATGACCGATAGAGAATTCGTCATTCTTAGATAGTAAGAGATTATGATCTTCATTTAATTCAATTAAGTCGATAGCGAAATTCGTGGTCAAGGTGTATTCAGAAGTTGAAAAGGAGTTTTCGACTTATATTTACTTAATAGTGGCATGAAAGATATGATCAATAATCGAGATTGACACACTCTCATATCTCGTAATTGATCGAACCATGTTGACGAATGGATTATAGTTTCACGGTAAATGAACGAGTTCGATTTTGTCATACCACGTGACATTTTCTGTCACATGTATTGCCCTGATACATTGCTAGATGTCAATCTAGGATGACGAGTGTGAATTTGTGATAAATAAAAAGGGTGTTTAAATTTATCAATTTTGATTAGATAAAAATAATATTTCACGTCGTTAGGCATCGTGATCGGGAACCTGATGGGTCGCACATATAAGGAGAACAGGAAGATTGTGATTTGTCAATTAATTAATTTAACAAGCGTTGGATAAATTAATTAATTGGGTTGTTTATAGGCCCGAATTAATTAATTGGATTAATTAATTCACGAACCATATTTGATTAAATGGATTAATTAAATGTTGGACCGGGTCAGGCCAAACCCATTTGGGCTCATATAAATATGACTAAGATTTTCAAAATCTGTAGAGAAAATTCATTCTTCTTGTTAGCACAAGAAAGAAAACTCTAATCCTACAATCTTGTTCTCTATGTGAATCACCGTTGGAAGCTGAAAATTGAACAGCTATGAGTGACAGATCAAGGTCTCTGGAACTAAAGAATTACAAAGGAGTTTGTAGAGTCAAAGCAAAAAGTTTGCAAATCTCGTAAAAGGTACAATTTCCTATCACAGTTTCTATCTAAACACAGAAGGATCCTTGGTAGGAATTGAAAATTGTTTTAATTTTTCGCTGCGCATGATAAGTAGATTCTCAACAGTAAGTTTAAAATCGGTATCATAAACTTTGTTCATTTATTTATGTCGCTTTTCGTGTACATGATCTTTGCTCTTAGTGATTCTGATGTTCAAAATTGTTTCTTTCCTCATGCCATGGAGAATTTGAATGTTTTGGTGATGAATTTTCCTCTAGGAGCTGTTTTTCGAGCTTTTTTTTCATGGTATTACCTAAAATGCTTAGAGGAATCGGATATGCAGGAATGCCATTATAATTTTTTGCATAATCTATTCTATAAATTTGAACTACGTATATCTCACACATTAATGTATCTATACAAGATCCGAGAAGAAAAGTCGAGATTCTAACAAGATTGACTTTTTAAGATAGAACTTCAAATCTTTAAGTCAATACAACTGTATGAGATACAAAACAATTTATGTTTCCAATGAAATTTCACCTTTTTAAAAATATTTGGTAATAACTGTATTGATAGAATATTACCTAAATTAGACTAATAAGAAACTATGTATAAATTGTGTTTAGAACAAGAAATAATCTATACCATATCATTAATTAATAGTAAAAAGAGTCATAAAAATTTAGATGACTTCTTATTTTAAAGAAAAATAAAACAATAATTTTTTTTTATTTTACAATTAAAAAACAAGTAAAAAAAAATTAATAGCTAAAATAAAAGGAATAAATTTATGGTCCATAATTTAAATTTTTGATGGATCATCAAAGGACATATTTGGCGATGAGTATCAGTTGAAATAAAATCAACACCTCTTTTAACCTTTTAATATAAAATTATTGTCAATTCACTTCTTTCACAATTTCATGTTATATCACACAGTAATTATGTAAAAGTCAAGTTACGGTGTGATTATGAACTAAGAAATTTCCATTAGTTTGAAATGATGATAAGTAATGAAATCTAATAGTCATGAGTTTGAAATTAAATTGAAGTTTAGATATCAAATTGAAATAAATTAAAATTTAGTGATCTAATTGAAATTTTCTGAAAGATCAGTGGCTGCAAGTCAAAGAAAAGGTCTCACGACTCCGCTGCTACGAATATCCTAAGAGGCGACAGGTTCACATTTCTTTATTAATTTTCTTTAAAAGGAAGAACCATTAACCTTCCAAACAAATTTTCTTGGCGGAAATGTCGAGATCGTGGATTTGCATTGCATTTGGCATCTTAGCGTTGTTTTTGTTCGCTTCAGCCTTTGCGGACGATGTCGTAGTACTCACTGAGGACAACTTCGAGAAAGAGGTGGGTCAAGATCGCGCCGCTTTGGTCGAGTTTTACGCACCCTGGTATGAACCACTTACTGTATTTGATTACTGGTTTCGGTGAATTTTAATTCAATCATATGTGTGTGTGTATAAGTTGTGTGATTGTTCATGATTCCCTTTTTTTTTTTTCCTACGAGATCTTTCATTTCCGAGCTCGTCTTGATCGATATAGATCTGAGTTATTGTTTATCTATATTTTCCCTCTAGACCCTTTTATTTGGTATCTTATTTGTTTGTTTATATTTTTTAAGTAATTTAGGGTGTATATTTTTTCTCTACCAGTTCATTTTGTTGTGAACAAGATGAGTTTTTTAACCCTTTCAATTATAAAAATCTTGAGTGCTTAGCCAGCTTAGGGAATGATTGAAGGAATAAATATGAATTGATTTGGTTTGTAGAAATTCTCGAAATTCTTGTTGCTTCTGTGTAGGTGTAGATAAATTGAAGATATATATGATATAGTGTTGCTATGCAGGTGTGGCCACTGTAAGAAGCTTGCTCCCGAGTATGAAAAGCTTGGTTCGAGTTTCAAGAAGGCTAAATCTGTTTTGATTGGCAAGGTTAGCCTTTTTTGAGTTTGGCGTGTATGTAAGTTATTAGTTGTGCTCTTGAAATATTCCCAAAAAGATTCTGTTTTTCTATCCGAAATGGAACTTCACACCATGCTCAACTAAGAATGCATTGCTTTGACGTGAATTGAGACTTCTTCTATGTATTGCATTCCTTGCCAAATGTCATTCCTCTGATTTACAATGAATGGGGCCACCACCACTTACCAATGTTCAGCCTCAGTTCTTTATCTTATTCACTATACTATATCACAAATTCATATTAACTTTGCTTTTTTCTACTATTTAGATTGTCTTTTGATGTCCCAAATGCTTAAGTAAGATCAAGCATATCTAGTCTAATAATGGCTCCATAGAACCTTTTTTTTTTTAAACCATCATTATAGGTATCTTAACACTTATCCATATTGTCTATCTTGCTCACATCCTTTTTGAGTCATCCTACTTTATCGAATGAAATAAAAAGTTAAAAATTAAAAGTTCACAAGAGCACTTTGACATGGGTGAAGGTTTCAGAAGCCCAATTCAAATGATTGTAGCTCTGCTGGGTAAAAGCATAAAAATGATTAGTCTGGCCTTCAACAAGTTGGAGAAAGTTCTAGTAATGGGTTAAATATATTAGCTAGTTGTTTTATGAATTATGCTAACTGACTGACCATCCTTTTTTAACTGTTGCTTGGTTTTTTAACTGAAGTAAAATCATTACATAATTACTTATCATGTTTGATTGAGATTCTCTCAGCTGAAGGATAAGTGGTCATCTATGAGTATGTTGTGTGGTTATTTGTTTGTGTTTTCTGTCCTGATGGTGCTGAACGGTACAGTTATTTTTTATTTGGAAAATCAGCGAAGTACATTAGATTAGTTAACCTGTTGAATTATGGTACTATTTATTGGGAATAAGACTTTGTTGTAATAGTTGTTATTAAACCGTGGTTAAAAAGACGTATTTTGGTATGTGGATTTTTTCTTCGTGAGTCGAGTAATATGAAAAAGTTCCAAAACTGAAAATGCTAAATAAGTGTGTAATAAATTGTAAACAATCTTCAAAATTCAGAACTAAACAATTTAAATAAACGATAGCACAATTTTTTGATGTTTTAGTAATAGTTGATTCCCAAGGTAGTTCAATCAGAAAGCACTAATTTTAAATGTTTTAGTAATAGTTGGTAGTGCTGTGGGCTATACCAAAATGGGATAATTATAATTTTTAATTTTTTGTGGGCCCACACCTAAAGCTTGAGAATTAAGGAGTACATGATTTACAAGCCTTGAGGCACAAGCATGCGCATCCAAAACTGCCTCACAATTAGCACTGTCAGGCTTTTTTTGTTGCCCTCGTTTTGAGGCACAGCTTAAGGCAGGCCTCAATCACAATTTTTTGAAACAGTGTAATGTTAAATTCTTGCATTACATTCATTTGAGGATCATTTCACTGGGTTGTGACTCAGTCTTTCTCAAAGCATTGATTTTTTCACAAACTGTTGTGGGTTGATTGCTAAATGTTTTCAACTTCAAAATGTTGATATCAATGACTATTAAACCATTCTGTTGTAGGTTGATTGTGATGAGCACAAGAGTGTCTGCAGTAAATATGGAGTTTCTGGATATCCCACCATCCAGTGGTTTCCTAAGGGGTCTTTGGAGCCCAAGAAGTGAGTTTAGGCTCTTCCAGAAAACTTGTCACTTCATTTCTTTTATATCCTCCTAGTAATTTTCAATTCATTAGATGAGGTTATGTTCTTTAAATAGTTTCTCTCCATTTAACTATTCAAGTCCCTGAAAAAGTGAATTCCACATTAATTTTGTTTTTTATTTCTTAGGTATGAAAGTGCAAGAACTGCTGAAGCCCTTGCTGAATTCATAAACAATGAAGGAGGTAAGACTTTTTGGTTCGTCATATATATCTGGTCCAAGATTGACTATGCACGCAGCAGGCGCCATTGTATATGCACAGATAAAAAAACTAGCTTATTGTGTGAAGGGCAATGTAATCATTATACCAGGTTGGTTATTCGTCAGTACCGATTTAGCTTACTATGTACTTGGAAGCCCTCGGCCAAACGAATATTTTACATAGAGCTGATAGGGCCTCATTGGTAAGTGCTACAAGATCTCGTGCATTGGAACTCACTGAATCCATTAGTATGGAACATTTTCTTTTCCAAGTGAAATCCCCTATTATATGAAAGATTGGTCCCCTACAGAAACGAGACTTCATAAGTTCAGGGACTTGAGAATGGAACAAAAAACAGGAAGACTCAACTGTCAAGAGCTCAGAGAAAAGGATTTGAAGCTCGTGACTCATGGGTATGGGGTACGAGCACTTGAGCTCCTCACTCTGGAGCTGGTGAACTTGATTTTCTCTCCTCACGTGTGATATATAATACACATCCAAATTAAGCAAGGAATCCCCGTTTGAATGATTCATAGCCAATATTATTACTCATACTGAAATTCACAAAGTCGCTTTTTTGAATATCCAAGAAATTCTAGGACTTGTAGAAAATATGCTTTAAATTTGTCCTAAATTTTGGATGAAAATCCACATTTTATTTCTAAATAGAAAAATGAGATATTTTTTAGTGTTCAACCATTTTTGCCCAAATATGTTTCAAAATCACACCTAAGTGGAGGTATCTCGCCTTGTTCTCTTACAAATGCTGTTTTGTTTTCAGGGACAAATGTCAAGATAGCTGCAATTCCTTCAAGTGTTGTGGTTCTCTCGCCAGACAACTTTGATGAGATTGTGCTCGATGAGACAAAGGACGTCCTTGTTGAGTTCTATGCACCCTGGTAGGTTTACATGTGAAGTTATTTTTCTATGCTGTTCTTGGACTTGAATGTGAGAAAAATAATTTGTTTCTAAGAGTTCTATATGTGACAATTTGCATGACACGTCCACTTGATATGATTGTCATTTCTGATTGAGGATATTCTTTTCCCAGGTGTGGTCATTGCAAAAGCCTTGCTCCTGTAAGTAAATCACTGGCTTTTCAATGAGACAATCATGGATTGTGAATAAATTATTGTAAAACATCTATCTTGTTTCTATTTTGTAGACTTATGAAAAGCTCGCAACAGCATTCAAGCTCGAAGATGATGTAGTCATTGCTAATGTGGATGCTGATAAGTACAAAGATATTGCAGAGAAGTAAGTATCCACGAATGCCCACTTTCAGAGCTTGCTGTGATAGTTCATTTAATGAAGTCACATTTTTTCGACTCTGGTGGTGTCCGCATATAACTTCTGGGAGTGGTTCTTCGCCGGGTGTTGTGGATCCATCTTCTCTCTCCCAATTCTGCACATCTTGCTTTACCAGATGTATGATCGGAAGAATGAGAGTAAGTAGTTTGTTTCCATTTACCGACTGGAAAAACTATTTTTGTTTCCACCAGTAGCATTAATGTTGTACTAGCGTAGTTTAGTTGTTATAATTATATGATCTCTTTTGGAAAGTAAAATGAAGTGATAGTTAATGCAAGATTCTTGGTTATTGAGGACAAGTTAGTGCGTTCTTTCATTATGTTTCAAAACTATGAAAAGATTAGACAGCCATTGTTGGTTGATAATGTTGTCAGTGTCGACTCCCACTCGGCTTAAGTCGGGAGAGGACTTCGACGGGGGTGGGTGTGTAGGGGTGAAAGATATATCTTCAGACTGAGGGAGGAGATGATATAAATATTTTCATTTTTGAATTGGGCCCTTTATTTTCTATTAGTTTTGTAAAAATAATTATAAAATTATCAACTTAAATTCCTCTAGTTAATTTATGGGTCGTGGTCAAGGTCAAGTTACACCTCTAAGAACATCTTCAAGAAACTCTTTAAACATAAGATAATTTTTAATTGAAAGAGTCAACAGTTAAAATTATGTTCTAAAGAAACTCCTTAAATTAACATTTTAATTTAGAAAACTTATTTTATATAATTAAATGTATTAAAAGAGTTTCAATCTTTAATGTAGGAAAATGATAAAATAATATTTAGAAAAGCTAGTTAAAAAGAAAGATAGAGAAAAATAATAAATATTTTTTGAGAGTGGTAAAATTAAGTGTTAAATATAAAGAGATTATTGGAGTATTTTAAGTTAATCTCTGAATTTATAGATACTCTTTAGATGATAAAATAAGTTATTTAAAAGTAGAGAGTATTTTGAACACACACTGATAATGTTTTTGTCAATTCATGAAAACAATTGAATAACTAAAAGGAAGCACTATAAGGCGAGGAAAAGGAGCTTGCTTAGTTCCCAAAACTATTCCTTTTGCTGTCTTTTAGCAAATTAGCAGATTATAACCAAATACAATTAGGGTCCATCTAATCACCATAAATTTACAACATGAGGATAGGCCAATCACAAGTGATAAATACTGAGAAGAGACATAATTGGTCGCATGGAGGCCCTTTCTGCAATTTGTACGACTATGAGGGTCTCCTACACCCCTGACAAAGGGCTATTCCCCAGCATGTGAATTGTGGAGTTTATACTAAATCATTGATTCAAGAATCTAGCATGAGATAAAAGTTTTCCAAATCTTACCATAGTCGTCAAGTTACCGTCATAGTCGAGAAATAAATCTTAACTTCATATGGTTGAACTCATAAAGTGCACACGACGGTTTAATAGAGATTGTGCATCCGTAAAGAGGGTGAAGGTTCGTGTTTAAAGATTGAGAATTAAGTAGCTCCTGTGCAATTTTCAAATAATGAACCATATGCAACCTTGGGTTGTGCTTCATGTCTGTGTACGGGTTCACAGAACTCACAACAAGGAAAGAGGGGGGGGGGGGGTT